TTAGATCAGATGATAGTAGAGCTGAAAACACAAATGTAGCCTAACTTGAACACACTCGATTACATTTTCCCCTTCTCAGCATTAACTCCAGTGAGTTCTTAGCCATTCCAGGGTGACTAAGCCATTCCAGGGTGACTAAACTCCCCACAAAAATCCATGTTTCCAAATATAAGAATGATAGCAATTGTACCTTATGTTATAATCATACTCCAAAACTTAGCAAAACTCTACTCTGTTGGGTATATAATTACACTGAAGGGAAAGTTCATTTTCTTCAAGCCTAGCAGTGATCTGCTTTCATTTTTTACAAGAAGACTTCCTTGATTTATTTTCTTAGCTTCTCTTGCACAAGAGAAGCAACTGAGAAAATTTCCTATTCTAGTTTGTCAGACAAGCTAGACAGCTTCTGTTTACTTTGAGGGGCTATTTTGGTGAGTTATCTCTTTCAAGTGCCTTCAAGAAATGCGACTTAGAGCTTGGTTATCTCAGTAAATCTTGGGCAGAGAGAATGGAGGGCCCGGTGCTCTAAGTCCTAACCTGCTGAACTCTGGTTAGAAATGGGGAATTCCAGTTACAATCCAGATTGCCTTCAACCAAAACTAGAAAGCTCTCCATGTCCCCCGTCTCTCAGATGTTGTAGGGCTTCACTGGTCACTAGGGTTAGTGTGGTTGCCTCAATACCAGCCATGTAAAGAGTCTTGCCACACTGGATGCCTGACCCGTGTGGCCACAGTGCAAACTGGAAGGTTCCCAAGTGATTAGGAACCATCTTTTTTCTTTCTGCTTTCCTTTTCTATTTCTTATTAGGATGTTTATCTGACAATGTTAGAGGATTACAAATGTTTGTGGGCTCTTTCTGTGGCAGCTGGAATTTTTTTTATTAGAAGAGAGGGAAGGGACAAGGGGACATGAAGCTGACATTTATGAGGTCCTACTATGGGGTATGTACTACTGTCTCATTGTAATCCTCACTGTAAGCCTACAATACAAATAAGGTTTTTCATGGTTAGGGTTGTGGAAATGGGGGTTCAGATTGGAATCCTATCTAATCACTAACTTGCTCTGAGCCTTGGTTTCCTTCCTTATTGGTTGCTGCTATAAGTGAGTAAGATAGTGTGTGGAACCAGCTAGCCAAGTACTGGACAGCTGTCAAGAACTGTGAAGGTCTGAGATTTTACCCTGCTTGCAAACTAAAAAGTCAGCCTGCCACAGTTTACTGGATGCTGGCAGAAGACTGGAGACTTCTGGATCCGAGTCAAAAGACTTTTATTACTCGTGGCACACAGGCAGCATGAGCTTAATGTCTGCATTGGTTCCCCTTTCCCTCACAGTCCCATGGGAGTGACACAGTGGCCCAGATGGATTTGCGTCACAGTAGAGGAACTCTCAGATTAGGGAACTCAAGTCTGTGTTGACCAGTGTTAGACAATAAATAAACCTGCCTTCCACTCTTAGGAAACCTGAATCTTTTATAACGGGTCGCAAGCAAACCTGCCCTCTTTTCCACTGGGAGACACTATCTCTGTCTTCCCAGGCTGTTTGCCTTACAAACATCCTCGACAAGCTGTCCAAATCAAGGGGTGTCAGTGTCTTTGCCAGCAAGATGTGCAGCAACACAAGAGACGTGCAAGAGAACTGTCTCCTCCAATCATGTATTTATTCACTAAATATTTATTGAGTTTTCACTATATACCATACATTACATTGGGTCCTGGGGATTTTTTAGTGGACAGGACACTCATGGTCACTGCCCTCCTGGAGTGTTGGTCATGACACAATATTCTGAATGATGACTTAGAATCCATGATATCAGAGTACTTATGGGAACAGTGGGACAGAATATTTGAAATTGGGACTTACTGGGAAATAAGTAATAAGTACATAGTCCCTATACAGACAGGTAATTAATAAATGTGTGAGCATAGATTGTCTGGCAGATTTGGTCCTTAATTCATTTTAGATGGAAAAGTCTCAGACTCTATGGGGATATTTAGGTAAACCCATCTTTTAGGTCATGTCTCAGTGTGGCAGAAAGAAACCATATAGATCTGGAACCAGACAGACTGGGCAGGCACCTTGGTTCTGCTTTTCCCTGCTTGTGTGGCCTTGGCCATGGCATTTGATGTCTCCAAACTTCTGTGTATTCAGATCACCTTTCCTCTTACAGCAGGCCCCAAAAGTGCCAGGTGCTACTGGTTGTGTGCATTCCACAGTCTGTATTCTTGCCTTCAGATTAGCGGATTCTAACTCAGGGTCACAGGCCTCTTAGGCCTGAATGGTCTGTCTTCAGACAAGTGTACAGGGAAGTCATGGTGAAGAAGCTGAGGAGAGAGAAACCAAAGAGGAAAGATGGAGAAGCTCAGGGATGGCCCTAGAGCTGGTTGCTGGAGGCCCTAGAAATTGCCCAAGAAGCCACAGATGTCCATTTTAAAAGCACCCCAAGTATAGATATGATCCTTAAAATAGGTTCTGTGGGAACCTATTCAGATCAATCACTTTTACTAAAGGTGCAGAATAACAAGCAGGGGTTAAGAGTGTGGTCTCTAGTTCAAAATACTCAAGTTTGACTTCCAGCTCCAACAATAAGCGACTGTGTGACCTTGGATATGGTATTTAGCCTCTCAGAGTGTTTTCTCAACTGTAAAATGGAGATGATAACAACACCTCAAAGGTTTGGTGTGAGGGTGACTTAAAGTCATCCATTCTAAGCGTTTAGCACAGTGTCTGTTTTATAGTAGCTTCTCCGGAATTCTTAGTGTCTTTTGGTTTTCTATTGGGTATCACATTTCAAACGAAAAAAGCCAAACTAATCAGTCTCCTAGCAAACCAGGATCATCCCTGATTGACTTTTTCTTTGAGTCTGTTTCTGGAAAGATTCCATTGTCTTCCAGCATCACTGTGCACAGGGCGTAGCAGGCTCAGGTGAAGATCAGTGAACACAGGCTTCTAGCAAACAGACCCCTTGGTGGAGCAAAGGTGGACTCTGCTAAATGCTACAGTCGGGGAGGCTGGAGGTGTTTTAAACCTGTTTAATCAGAGGAATTACTTTCTCTATTTCTCCTCCCCCAGGATTCCTTAGAACTGAATTTGCCCCATTTCTTTACTTCAATAGCTTAACAAGGATTTAGAATTTACATTACCCAGTGGAGGAACTCATAGCCTGGGAGGCCATTTAGGTCAGCAGAGAAATGGCTGGAAAAGTGCCCATGAATGAGCTTAGTGGGAGGAAAACAAACAAATCTCCTTCCACTTCCTCTCATGCTCTGATAGTATTTTTCTCTCCTGACAACAGACGGCTAAATATTCACGGGGTGATTTCAGGAGGCCATGTTTTATGGCTCAGCCTTCCTCTGGTGACTTGATGATGGTCTACTATGAGGGAATTGGTCGTACTGTCTCTTCTAAAGGGGAAAGGGGACATGCAGCTCCCACCTGCCTGTGGGAGGACTGGGAAACCTCGGAACGGCTCATGAAAGAGGGGCTCTGGCTGGCCCTCAGAGGGTGCGTGTCTGCCAAGCCAGGCCTTTACGGGGTGGGCGGGGCGTGGGCAGGGAGGAGGGAAATGCTGTTTGTTCTCTTGCTGGAATCACTTGCCTTTCCATTCTGTCTCTCCAAGTGGCAGGCGAGAGGATGCGGGTATATACTCGCAAAGGAGAGGAATCTTCTTTGTCCACATCTCCATGGTCTGTTTTCAGGCTGATTTAGTGATTTTCCAAATAACTGGAGCCAGAGGTGGTGGGGGAAGTAGCAGAAGACACAGAATTTGAGGGTGGTGCTGAGAGTGAGGAGTCCTGGGCTTTCAGGAGTCAGGCCACCTGGGAACTGCTCCACCCCCTTAGCTTGGCCGTCCTGACCGAAGTGACAGAAGACAAGGGAATGTGCTCTGGACACTGTAAAGTGCCCCATGGTCGTGTGGCTGTTCTGACAGTTGCTTTCCATTGCGTCTGGGAGAAAAACTAGACACGATCCTTGCCTAGAAGCCTCTTGCCTCCAGCATCTGTGGCCTTACTGACAGCATTCCAGGATGGAAGGAAAATGCAGATGTGGAGCGTTCTGTTGCAAGGATCAGTCGTTAATTTGGCAGCTGTTTCCTGGGCAGGCAGTGTACAAGGAAGACACAGTCCCTGCCCTTGTCCAGCTTGGACCAGAGAGGAGCCAGCTACAACACCCATAATGACACAAATTGCTAAGGAAGAGGAGAACATGGTACCAAACAGGGAGACGTGACTGAGTTTAGAGGGTCAGGAAGGCTACTCTGAGAGGGTTGGTGGCCTTTAAGCTGAGACCCGAGAGGTAAATTGGAGCTAACCAAAGGATGAGGGTAGGAGCAGAGAGTGTGCTGGAGGCTCCTTAAACGGTAGCTAATTATTACTACAAAGGCATTTACAGTTTATTTTTCTAAAGCTAGGCAATACAGATTATCCCATAATTTAAACTGAATCCATTTAGCACAGTAATTATATAATTTCTTACAAGATTAATGTGTCAAGGCTGCGTCTCCAGCTGCAAACTTTGTGAGGGGCAGGCCTGGGTCTGTTCTATTCAGGGTCCTAGTCCCAGTGCCAAGCACACTCCATGAGTATAGGATGGGTGAGTCCATGTGTCAGGGGTTGTGCTGGGCACCCAACACACATTCCCAATTCACCTCCACAGTGGCCCTATGGTGGGGGGAAGGGGACTTTGGTCACCCAGCTTCATAGATGGGACTCAAGCCTGGGTCTGACACCAATGCCCCTGCTCTCCACTGCCTCCCTCCTACTTTATATCATATTATTTGACATTGTGGGGACTGCCACTCTCACTCCCTGACCCTTCAGAACTTATTTTAACCTACAGTTTCGGGAACTTTTTCACCTAATATTTTTTGATGGATTATGGTACATGTGCCCCTTGAAAGAGGCTGGAGGGGAAGTGTTGGTCAAGACTGGAGTAGCTTCATGTTGCTTTACTCATCCAGCATTATGTTTTATTTTTTAATTCCACATTTCCTTTGTTCCAAGGTGAAGGAGGCCCCTCATGAGGCTGAGATGGTGTTCACGGCGCGTCGCCCAACGGTGACCTTTCAGGCAGGCGGAGACTCGTGGCGGGAGCAGAAGGAGAAGCGGGCAGCTATGATGGTGGGCATTCTCATTGGCGTGTTTGTGCTGTGCTGGATTCCCTTCTTCCTGACGGAGCTCATCAGCCCCCTCTGTGCCTGCAGCCTGCCCCCCATCTGGAAAAGCATATTCTTGTGGCTTGGCTACTCCAATTCTTTCTTCAACCCCCTGATTTACACAGCGTTTAACAAGAACTACAACAACGCCTTCAAGAGCCTCTTCACCAAGCAGAGATAAGCACAGGGCTTGGAGAGACAAGTGGGTCGGGTTGTGGGGAGGGAACTTGTATTTCTCCCCTTCACCAGTGGTCTAGGAGCCTTCTCTCCACGGCTGAGTGTTAAGGACGTTTTAGAGCCATACTGCTGGGCCTGGACTGTAGGAGCGGCAAGGCCAAAGGCTCTTCAGAAAGACAGCAAATGTGTGGCAAGCGTGCAGCTATGCCCTCTTCCCATGAGTGGCAGACATTGCTAACTGATCGTGGCATGTTTCCTTACTGAGCAGGAACACTGCCTCACAATCCTTTCCAGATAGCACTTGAGGCAGTTGCTGTTAGTCGCTGGGAATTGACACAAGAGTCAAAGCTGATTTGCCTTTCCTTTATCTAATACCATATTCCTCAGAGGGTCTCTCAGCACAGGGCTGAGTGGCCTGTTAGATCATCCACTCAGAAGATGATCTCTTTTGTGAAACAGTCCTCCTCCCACCCTTTATCCACTCCATTCAATTTATCTTCTCCCATCTCCAACACAGTGTATCCCAATTTGGGAGAAGAGGATCATCTGAACTTTTGTTTTTAAAAAAAGTGTCCAATGCAACCCATATTTAATGAATCAGACTTTCAAAGAAGAGGTCTGGTAATTTATATATTATTAACTTCTCTAGGTAATTTTTTTTCTTATCAGTGAGAGACACTGCTGGATGCTTAGGTTGCTCTTTAGACAAATTATTGGCATTTCTAGTGGCTGCAGCCCAGGCAGCAGTGCTTTTCAAAGCTTCCCAGCTGATTCCACCGTGCAGCCAGCCTTGAGAACCCCTGGTGAGGTCCTTTCTCTGCTTCTGTATGAGGGAGAGCAGCTGTGAGAAATTTCCCCATGACTTCACCATACTGGTATGTATAATAAAAATACTTTCAAAGCATTCATCTCTAGGCTCAGAATCATTCATCTGTGTAAGTGATCACACACACACATACATATATACATATACGTGTGTATGTCATTGAGATGGGAAAAATGCCTGTTGCGGAACTAAAACACAAACAACACCAACAAAACCCCCCCAAAACTGCCACAGTGCATCCTGGCCTTCCTGCAAATATGAAATGTGGCCCAGGTGTATAGGAATCCAAGGGCCTGGATGAGGAGGATACCTGGACTAAGTCATCTTGGCCACAGTCTGATTTTGGAGGTGGGCTGGCTGCCTACTGATTAGGTTTTAATTTAACAGTCACCACTGGCTTGATGTCTGAGGTGTGCAGACATACTTTAAGCTTACACTATAGAGTACCTGCACCTTGGGGTTTATCAGAGAATAGAGGTCCACAGTGCCTTTTCCAAAATCTTTGGGACCAGATAGGTTTTGGGATTTAGAATTTTTTCAGTTTTAGAAAGGCAATATGGTATCAAGTCCATAAATTAGATAACACCCCCAGCTGGGTCTGGGGCAGCAGCCTCTAATCAAACACATGGATATTTCTGCAGTAAAATGTATGAATATTTACACTGTGAGAAAAGGACTAAAAATAGCCTCATGCTGGGTCACATCAGATTTTGTCATCACGTGAGTCAGAAACGACCTGTGTTTCCTGAACTTTTTGTGTTTTTGCAATTGAGGACCTGTATAACCTCCAACTATCCCAGTCCCAGCTCTGCTTGATCTCAGCCCTGTTGAGAAGAAAAAGTTGGAGTCTGGGAAGAGCACGTGGTCCACCTATTCCTTTGTTGCTAGGGGTTGGGACATCAAAAAGGTGCTTGGTGTGCTCCCTATGACAGCCTTCTTGGAGTCACACTTTGGAATTTTGTTCTTTTTCTTCATTGGAAGATGCTTCAAGAAACAGTCTTATGAAACCTATCAATGCATTTCACATAAAGATGTAGTTCAAGTCATCAGATGATTACAATCTTTGTGAACGAATGTTTTCTTTTGATAATGAGGACTTTTAATTGACTATGTTTCCATTTTCATTTTGATCAGGAGGAAGTACAGAACCAAATTTCTGACTTGACTTTGGAATCTATGTAGGAACTGGTAACCTACTTATTTGTGTTGAATGTTTCTAGCCAGTCTGTAATTCCAATTCTTATTTAGGTTTTCCCTATCCTAGTGTTATTTAGGTTTTCCCTATCCTAGTGTTTTATGTTCTATTTATATTTTACCATCATATTCTGTGTATTTCCTACAAGCCACCTCAAATCCTCTGTGAACTAAGGCAGAGTAGGAAGGACTAGGAGATGACTGACAACCTGGAGGGGGTGGAGGTACACTATTATCAATCAAATGGTGTTCTCAGGTTCTAAGTCATCCCTAGTGTTTTAAGGGCTAGAGCTCAAGCCTGGGGCTACTGGGGATTTTCCCTCGTGGCTGAAAGACACTAGGTGGTGGTAATGATCTTCCCCCATCCCTCTCTTCATAAAACACACAATCAAATTATAAGAGTACTAGTCATTGAGCACCCACCATGTGCAGCTGTTGTACTAGGTGTTACATACAAATGCTCATTTAATCCTACATCTATCCTACAAGGTAGGTATTGTCCTCATTTAACCAGTTCTAAGAGGGTTAAGCAGGGGCCAGCCTGGTGGAGCAGTGGTTAAGTGTGCGCACTCTGCTTCGGCGGCCCGGGGTTCGCAGGTTCGGATCCAGGGTGCGGACCGACACACTGCTTGTCAAGCCTGTGGCGGCATCCCATATAAAGTAGAGGAAGATGGGCATGGATGTTAGCCCAGGGCCAATCTACCTCAGCGAAAAAGAGGAGGATTGGCATCAGATGTTAGCTCAGGGCTGATCTTCCTCACAAAAAAAAAAACCAACAAAAAACAAACAAACAAAAGATAAGAGGGTAAGCAGCTTGCCTGTGGTCACACAGTGAGTACATGCAGAAAAGGTATCTGGACTCAAGTCTGCCTGTATTCAAACATGGGAAAGGTAAAGGGAACCCAACAGAAATCTGACTGGGCTCCACATTCCAACATCCGCAGCACGAGACCTCACCTGGTGTAGTGGATCGGCTTGCAATGATCTAGCTGGATTCCCGGCAGGAGCCTTAGAGGAAGAGTCTAGGTATGGTTGGGGGGGCATCTATGGGAGTTTTGGTTTACTCTCACTATTGGATAGGATGCTTTCTCATTGTATTCATTTGGCTTGGGCTTTGACTTAATGTAGGATCATATGGAAGCATCCCAGGCAGAAGGAATCACTTACGTCGAGTCCTTCCTAAAAGGAGGTTGTTTGCTTGCTAATTTGGTGGCAACTTCCATTGGACTTTTTAGACTTGAACCTTTTTTTTCAGTTAGTGAGGCCTTCCCTGACCACTCACTATAATTAAAAAATGCTCAATTTCTGAAACAGATCAGTTGATGATTGACTTTATGTAAGGATGCACTTGTAATTCTTTTTAATACAGAGTATCAGATATAGAAGTCTACTGACAAAATATCTGATTTACAATGAACATTCCAGGAACTTCCCCTTAATAAGCATAATGTGTCTGTTCTGCCTCAAATCTCTTTGTACAACATGACTAAGATGGGGTTGGGAGGCTGCAAGAGGAATTAAATCTCTTCCCTGTCAGGATTTATTTGCTGATTAAGGGAGCACTCAAGTGTCTTCATGTCAGAATCCAATTCCACAAAGTTCCAGGCCTGTAGGATGGATGTGGCTAACCTAATAGTTTTATTCTGTAAATTTAGTCATGTATGATGTAAAGTATACTATGTTTCTCCCCTTTAACACGGCCTCCACGTTTCTTCAGGCATGTCTGAAGGGAATTTGGATTCTGATCGTGGTTGCTGTCCTCTGTGAGCATCTATTCCACACGTGGGTACCATCCCCAGAAGCCTATTCTTCTGGCCCCTGATCCGGTCCCTCCACACTAATGCTGGATGGTACAGAGAAGTGTCTTTTAAACACCAGGTCACAGCCTATCATGAAATCAATTTGGTGGTTGTCTGTCAGCTGTGTTCTCAATAACTGTGCACAATTACTACAAAAGCTCAGCGGTGTGGAGCAACAAGCCTTTATTTCTTGCTGTGCTGTCTGTGAGTTGGCTGGGGTTTCACTGATCTAGGCTGGGCTCTTCTGGGCTCGGCTTCAATCTGCAGGTTGGGTCTCTGTTTGCTCCTTGTGTCACTCGTCCTCCTTGGGCCAGCAGGGTACGTTCTTCTCAAGAGAGGCGTGTAAGAGGGCAAGCCCAACCACACAAGCACATTTTCAAACTCAAATATTTGTTGGTTGAATGAATGAGTTAACGGGGATTTATTTTTCACATGGAACAAGAAATATGGAGGCAGGTGGTCCCCAGGTTGCTCATATCAAGTCTGCTAACAAGCCATAGACTGAGCAAAAGCCCAAAGTGAAGGGGTGGGGAAGTACATTCCACTTGCCAGGAAGCCATCACAAAGGTGTGTGCTCCGTGGGAATTAAAAATGGAAACCAATAATTCAATGCTCAGCATTTTTAAAAAGTTAAGTAGAACAGGAAAAAAATCAGTGTGTAGTATAGAAAGGGTAAGCCTTGTCTCATAAAACTTTTGCTTCAGGTATACTTTCATCTGGATTATTAGTGGGCTCTTTACTGGGCTCCTGCTTCCTCCCCTGTGTCCCCTGCAGTCTGCAGTCAGCACAGATCTCTATTAAAATCTTCTCAAAACCCTGCAATGGTTTCCCACGCAGGTCCCCTTCATGTTCCTCAAACTCACCTACCGGGCATGCTCCTACCTCAAGGCCTGACACCGGCTCCTCCCGCTGCCAGGAATTTCCCTCACAGGGGTCTATGGGACTCATTCCCTCACTAGTTGTGAGGTTTATTTGTTTATATTTATGTAATGCTAAGAACACAGTTATCCTAAAGAAGAGGCAATTAACAGAGTTTTTTCTAAACAGGATTTTGATCATAAAAACACCAGTAATTCAAACCTCTAAATCAGAAAAGCACATAAATATAGAAAAATGTAAAACATATTTTCTCTTACCTGAATTAACCTGAGAACACCTAAATATTTTCTTTAAGAGATATCAATATTAAAGTCATGCAAAGAAACTGTACTCATAGTGTTTATAAAACCAATACCTGGTTTATACATGACAAAAATAAAAGCATATAAAATAATGCACAGTTTATAGAATTCAAAGAAAATCAGGGTGACTAAGAGTCGGGTGAAAGAAGGCAGTTAGGGGCAGGAGACGTTTGTAAAGAGGGGCGCTCCGGCCATGACTGTGGCAAGCCCAGATGACCTAAGAAGCTCTGGACGCCGAGCATCCCTGATAGGAGGGATAAAGCCTGAATCTCTAACAGACAGCAGATTAACTGATGCTCTGGAAAAATGTCCACAATTACAACCCAGGTAGTTTTCAGTACAGAATGTAAAGCAGGAGTCCCTAACTACTCACTATAAAATTGCAACCGTCACCACCAAACCAGACACTCCGGATCCCTGTTCCTCGCTTAATCAGCACATTGAAGCAACATGTCATGTGGTTTATCTATTTACCTTGTTGTGTTTCCCCAGAGTATAGCCCTAAGAGGGCAGGTGTCTGCTTCGTTCACTGCTGTATTCCCAGGGCCTGAGCCATAGGAGAAGCTCAAATATTTGTTGGTTGAATGAATGAGTTAACAGGGATTTATTTTCCTCATGGAAGAAGAAATACGGAGGCCAGTGGTCCCCAGGTTGGTTCAGATGCTCACGATGCCTTCAGGCAGCCAGGCTCTTTCCACCTTTCACTCTGCCAAGCTCAGTGTGTCAGGATGTCTCTTCTCACAGTCTCAAAAGGCTAAGCTGCTCCACCACCTTGTCCTTCCCCAACAACTTGCAAAAACAGAAGCTCTCCTAATGCATCTTACGCTGATTATCAGCAGGAAAGTCTCCTCCCTACTCGCCATAACTGGGTTAGACACACATCTGTAAACGAATTCTTGGCAAGCAGAAATAGGATTCCTATGACTGTTTTAGAACAGCTGTCATGAGTCCTCACCTGGGCTGGACACATTCCACATCAGAGGCAGATAAAATCAGAGCTCTGCTGGTACGGAAAGAGGGGCGGGGAAGGGATCACCCACAGCAGGTTTCCACAGAGGACAACATGGCTCCTGGAGAATGCTAACAGCTCCCCTTGGACCATGGTACAGGGGTACCATCTCCACCTTTTCCAGCCCAAAAGCCAGAGGACCTGGGGTTGTGCTGTGATTCTCACGAGATGGAGGCAACCCTGCAGCAGCCCTAGTCTGTTCCCGGGGCGCAGCCACTTCACAGGCCATCTCCCCATCCCCACCCCCTCCTTTCCAGCCCCACACGCTCACACATCAGAGCAGAACCACCCTCACTGCTTCGTCTCCCAAAGCTGCTCCACCAGAGGAGGACGGTGCCCTTTCACTTCCCTATTTCCCTCCAGACCCAAGAAAACGAGAGCTTAACTACTGTTGGCTCAAGGGCCTAAATTCCTAAGGAAAGCAGATTTACTGAATGAGAATCTTCTCTCTTATTTTTGTTTTTTAGAAAAGTAAACCAAATTAAAATTTAAAAACTTTATTTTTTGAATAGATAATACATGTACATGGTACAAAATTCAAAAGGTACAAAAGGTATACAGTGAAAAGTAATTCCCACCCCTTTTCCAAGAGGCAACCAAGGCAGCCAGGTTCCTTGTATCCTCCCAGAAATATTCTAGGCATATGTGAGCAGATATGTTTAGATATACATGTGTGTGTGTATACAGATATATACACACACACACATATATATACACCCACAGACACATTTTTCTCCATCTCCTTTCTCTTTTTAAAAACAAACACTAGTACACCATAAGCCTCTTTTCCCCCACTTAACCACACATCCTGGGGATCAATCCATGGCAGTATATACACAGTGGCTCCATTGTTTTAAATTTCTTTTAATATTCCACTGTATGGATTCGCCATAATTTACTTAACCATTGCCCTATGTTGGTGGTAGATTCCAACTTTTTTCTATTACAAACAATGCTGCAGTGAAAATCCTTGTACATGGAAAAATTCCTAGAAGTAACATTGCTGGCTCAAAAGGTCTGTGCGTTTACACCTTTGATAGATATCGTCCATTGCCCTCCGTGGAGGCGGTACTGTTCAAACTTCTGTCAACACTGCATCAGAGTGCTGCTTCCCAGTTCTCGGTTTCTTGTGGCTGAGTCATTTCAATCAGTCAAGTTACCTTTAGAGTCATGACATACTTTGAGCCAAAACATACCCCATGATCTAATCTCTGACATCAGTGTGTGTGCACCCTTTCTTTTTTTTTTTAATTTTATTTATTTATTTTTCCCCCAAAGCCCCAGTAGATAGTTGTACGTCATAGCTGCACATCCTTCTAGTTGCTGTATGTGGGACGCGGCCTCAGCATGGCCAGAGAAGCAGTGCGTCTGTGCGCGCCTGGGATCCGAACCCAGGCCGCCTGTATCGGAGCGCACGCACTTAACCGCTAAGCCACGGGGCCGGCCCTGTGCACCCTTTCTTTTTTCCTCCCTACATGGGGAGAAAAAACATCTGTAAAAGGTAATTCCTTTGAGAGGTTTGAAACCCCTGGCACCTTTCTTATTCCACCCTTCAAGATAAGGATATAACAAACACACTCTGAGAGAGATCCTCCGAAGCTGCTGAATAAAATTGTATACCTGTTCTCAAACCACGGTGTAAATGAGACGCACAGTTCAATCTGAACTTTGTTAACACAGGGATGCAAAGTGGCAATGTGGAGTAGCTGTTTTACCCAACGAGAGTTTCCTGATCACCCTCCCCAGCCAGGTGCTGGGGAGATTGGTGATAATATGGGCCAGGTCCCTGCCTTGTTGCTTTTATACCCCCAGGGGAGGGCAGGCACAGGGTTTGCAAAGGACCAAGACACTCAAACAGTGACATGTGCCATCAAGACAGACAGCAGGGAAAGGGCAGAACGTGGTCAGGGCTGCAGGCTGACACTGAAGGGGTTTGTACGAGTGTCAGGTGGTCAGGGAAAGCCACTGCCCATGACCTTGGAGGGAGGGCCGTCCAGGCAGAAGCAACAGCAAGGGCAACAGCCATGGCCAGGCGCGAGCTTGCACTTTGAGGAACTGACGTAAGGCTGACGTGGAGAGCACACAGGATTCCCTACATTGTCAAACAGGCCGCAGACCAGCTACTAAACCCCTCTAACATTTTTATAGTTATTGTGAGAAGAGGAGAGACTATCATAACAACCTTTTTTATGTAGCATTTTCAGCCTATCACCATGCGCTGTTAGAAGGAATGCTCTGGACTGGGGGAAAAGAACCAAGACAGGGCCTGGGGTTCCCTGAAGATGCATCAAACAAGGCGCCTCCGCTGGCTGGGGCCCAGCCATGGGACAGACAGTGGGCACCGCATCCTGCTGGGGCTCTTCACTGCACTGCTCTGCGGTAAGATGTGCCTTCACCTGGAGGCCAACCCAGGCCATGAGCAAATCCGACAGCACTTCCTTAGTGCTCTTCCTCAAGGCATGAGTCAAGCCAACTACCTGCATCTCAGGCTCAGTCAGAGTAACTGTTAACACAGAATGACTACTGGCCTCTGCCACTGATCATCAGTCACCTGCAGAGACGGCAAGAAGGCTGTGCTGACAGAAATCAAGGTGGCACAGGTTCACAGGCCACTGCTTACTGTCCAAAGTGCCCTTTCAGGCCCGTCTGCTTTGGTCACTACAGATGGTATAGGGGCTCTCAATATTACAGCCTGAAGTCGCGAGGACGGTGCTTTGTGAGGTAGTAGGAGGGCTGCCTGGGGCCTTCCCCATCCTCTGCCCTGGTTTCAGGAGGTCCCAAGAGCTATGGTTCGTCAGGGCGTGCTTCCTCAGCCTGGTAAGGGTCTCCTGTCTGGACCAGCCCCTCTGCCTTCCGGTTCTACCGCCAGACTCACAGACACTCGCAGGACCTGGCTCTCCACAGAATATGGGCAACGAACTAGAAGCCAGTTAAAACCACGCAGTTCAGACTCTAACAAGAGCTTAGGCCTGACAAACTCGGAATTTGTTTAAAAGGGAAACAGGCTCCTCATGTGTGACAGCGCAGCTGTTCTCTAACACTCGGCAGCTCCCGCCAGTGCTATTAGCTGACCCCAGCGATCCATGAGAGACTGAACCCAGCCAAGGACAACAGGAAACGTGTCCCAAGTGTCTCCCCAGACGGCCTCATAATAGTCTAGTCTGTCCTGATTTTGCAGCTGATTTTGGCTTAAACCAAAGCAGCCCCATGTACTCCACGAGACGCACATAGGAAAGAGGGGAGCCCCTGACCCAGAGGCTGGCCGAGAACCCCAGGGCACTGGGCAGTCAGCCACAGCAAGTCTGCCCCGTTAGCAAGCTCATTGCTCCGACTGAGCAGGACAACTGAACGCTTCCTGGGGAAACCTCATTCCTCCTGAGGCACACCGTTCATAAAAGTAACATAAGGATGTTTCCCCCTCCCCCCCCCCTTTTTTTTTGTGAGGAAGATCAGCCCTGAGCTAACATCTATGCTAATCCTCCTCTTTTTGCTGAGGAAGACCAGCTCTGAGCTAACATCTATTGCCAATCCTCCTCTTTTTTTTTCCCCAAAGCCCCAGTAGATAGTTGTATGTCATAGTGGCACATCCTTCTAGTTGCTCTATGTGGGATGCGGCCTCAGCATGGCCAGAGAAGTGGTGTGTCGGTGCGCGCCCGGGATCCGAACCCGGGCCGCCAGTAGTGGAGCGCACGCACTTAACCGCTAAGCCAGGGGGCCGGCCCCTCCCCCTTCCCTTTTTTACTCCAGAAGAGCCTGTGGGCTTAGCAGAAGACCCAGCCATACTCTGTCTGGACACACAGAAGGATGCAGTCCTGGGAGGAACCCCCTTGAGTGACTTCTGAAATGATGGAGGCCTCGGGGCCTCTCCTCAGCCTCTAAGGCCTGACCATAAAGCACACTTAATGTCCTAATTACTCACAAAGGCACCAGTCACTCTGTGGGTTATCTGCGGCAAACAGAGAATTGTCAAGACTGGCTTCTGCCTAATGCAAAACGTGTTCAAGGAATGGAAACTAATTTATTATCTGTATTAGGCTTTGTAGATTAAAGAAAGGGAAAAGATTTCTACTGATACCTCCCTATCCCAAAAGCAAACCAAATGACTCTTTAGAAACATAGTCTCAAATAAACGCCTCCACTTTTAAAAAGAATTATTGGTTGCTCTGGATTAGCCGTGCCACACTTCCTCCAATAATATAGAGAGGTGGACTACCATAACCCAGAATATCACCCTCCTCCTCCCTGCCACCTCTGGACAAATATACAAATAATCTCCTAACTGCTCAAAAAGTTGTTAATTAGGGAGTGGGTCTATGAGCTTCTCAACAAGATAGTGCAGATGTTTTCCTGAACCTGAAATAGTTTACAGTCAAACTGCTGTCTCCTTCCCCTGCCTTCAGAGTGCCACCCACTCTTTGGCAGTCACTTGCTTCAACTTCACGGAGCCCTTCCACAGTCCACAAACAACCATGGCCCAGGGACCAGCCTAAGTGGAGATGCACGTGGCCCGGGGAAAGTGTGCTCAGCACGTGGGAGTACCATTTCAAAGACTGCTGCTTGCACTCAGCTCCAGGAGCAGCCATGCCCATCAGCAGGCCCCGCTGGCCCTGGCACAGAAACTGACGGCTGTTGTCAATCCAGCACGAGATTTTTTAAGTCTGTACACATCAACCCTGCTTAATGCATACATTAGGGCACTAAAAATGAACGTGAGGCTCCTGTGGCTGCACTGAATGCCCTATTTCCCTGACATGCTTAGGCTTTCACGTTTTATGGTCCAAACCTGCTGACTGGTATGTGTGCAGGCTTATGCACAATGAAGGGCAAACCTCCTGCTGAGGTTAAGTGAACATGACTGAGGCCTGAGGGCCAGGGCAGGAGGAGCTGTGTGTTTGGTCTGGAATGCTCATTTTCAGAGAATAAGTCAACCCCTCTGCCTTCCCCTCGAGGCCCTCCAAAGGCTGGTTCCGCCCATCTTTCCAGACTGGCCTCTAAGGCCTCCTGACGAGACCCGTCCACTCCTCTCCCAATGAGCATACCTCGTCCTCTCCCCGTACCCTTGAGTTTTTAATCATAGTTGTACTTTATCCAAAATGGCCCTGCCACCTATCTCTGCCTATTATAATGCGAGTCCCCCTTCAGATCTAGCCCAAATCTTGCCTGCTCCATGAAGTCTCCTGATCTCTGCACACCTCACTGCTCTTCCTCTCGCTGCCCTCTGCACCTGCTCATGGCCTGTCACTCTGGGACTCATCACAGACTGCCCTGGACTACAGTGAAGGGTGTGCAAGTCTCATCTGTGTGCTTACAACACGACCTGTCCAGAGCGTAGGGCACATTTAATGTGCTCTTAATGAGGGGGATGCACAAGTCCCTCCCCATGTTGGCTGTGACTCAAATGAGAAATAGGGCATGATAATATGTCATTCTTATTTAAGTGTCCTCAGTGTGAGGCCCCTGTTTTCAATTTTGGGTGAAATGACCTTGAGCAATGAATAGTGTGTAAGGAGTAAACCAACAGCAGACACCGACCTTTCACGCCAGTTGCTACATCATTAAGCCTGGTTGGGACCTCGAGGAGCCAGGAATAAAGGCACCATGGGCAATGAAGGGCCCAAGGGACCAACATTCACATGGGCTGTCATTCAGCTAAACGCCTTTGTTTGCTAAAAAAATCCCAAGTGGCAAAGCTCTGGGATCAAGTGGGCTATATCTGCACCCCAGGACACTTGCTAGGTGCCTGAGGTGCAGGGTCTGTGTTTTATACTTCTCTCTGTCTCCCTCAGTGCTTACTTCTCAGTGGTTGCTCAATTAACATTTGCTGAACAAATGAATTCCTCTTTATTCAGAGAGTCCATACAAATACAGGTACCTTCATATGTGCAATGATACTGAAGAAATAAAAGCTGAATCAACACAGAGAACAGATACTGCCCACATTCTTCATAGGATTATGGGTGTTATCCAAGCCACAATGTCTACACTGATTCCATCAACAACAACCAACACAGAGATGAAATGGAAGCAAATCGGAGAAAGAAAATGTCCAGGGTGTTGAGATCATTACACCCGCATCTCTCTACTGTAGCGTTCAGAACCATTTCACAATCTTGTAGTCGATATATGGCATTTAAAAAAAAGTCATGGACGTACGTTGATGAAGTTGGGGAACTTTCAGGAAGCCTTGGCTTTCACCTTAGACAGCAGCACCTCATTCTTGCGGCCTTCCTGCAGGGGAAGCAGAGAGGTGGTGACTACGTTAGCACCCACGAGCCCCAGATGGTCTTAGTATCCTTCCCCTAGTCCCACAGGGAGACACCTACTGACCAACTAAACCAGCCTCCTGGCACGCTGCTATGAGCAAGGTGAAACTTCCTGGTGACATGCTGACCTTCAACACCACGACAGCTATATAAGGACAATTAGTTTCTGGACTATCAGACTGAGAACAGGATGAGAGGATTAGGCACAGTCATTCCAAAAGGCTTCCTGAAGCTTCTCTAATCCTCAAGGGGTCAGAAGCAGAAAGCCGACACTTATGTGCCGATCTTGGACAACTACGGTGAGCAAGGGGAGAAGGTACTCGGAAACAGCAGCCAAAGGAGTGATAAAAGGCAGCCCCAGTTTACACTGCAAGCAGAGTATGCAGAAAAGTTCTTACTCTGATAACACTGAAGGTTAAGAATGTCCTAGCTTTAAGAAAGGAAGAAACTCATGGAAGGCAGGGTGAGAGAGATGCATCAAGGGGCACCTGTCCCCTTAAAAATGAGCTGTATGAGATCTATTACTGTCTGTGCTGAGGAATGTTATTAAGGAAGGTCACTGCCCCATCCGGTGCGTGGAATCTGACGTCTAGTGGTGCAGGCTCACCTCTGCATCATTTTGTACTCCTGATTTCAGACATCTTCCAAAGCTTCTCACTGTGGGTCCTCCTTCCCCCTTGTTCCCACTGGCCTTGAGAGCTCAGGATACCTCCATCTGTGAGCAAACAATCCCCACCTCTTCCCTGGGCCATGTCACAAGGAGCCCTGTTTAAATTGAGAGGTGAATGTGGTAGTAGGAAGGGCCTGGAAAGGGCAAGCTCAAGGGCCCAGGCTTGGCAGGGTGGCCAGGTCTCCAATGGCCATGCTTCCTTGGAGATCCACTTAGTGTGGAAGAGAAACTTGCTTTCACCCTTGAACCCTCTGCATCCAAGACCCCAGAGTCAATGTTTCCATCTCCCTGGGCCCCGTTAGGTGCTCCCACCTCTCTGGAGGCCCTTTGATCTTTCCGGCTACAATGACCCTGGTTTTACTAAGACAAATGCCAGTTCACTTGTACGGTTTATACTTATCTTCCACTCAGAGCTGGGGAACAGCTAGGCTCTGGGCTGGGGGGTAGGCTAAATTATTCTGTCAGAAGCAAGGTACTCTGGTACTTCTTGAGTAAATGTATTTGGAGGGGAGGCACTTAATTTTTCCCCGGGGTGGGAAGAGAAAGAAGGTGAAGTTGAGTAACTTTAACTGTATTAGAAAAGTTAAGAAGAAAGTTTTCCTTCTTAAAATGAGTTACTGAGATGTGCTTGGGGGAAAAACCTCTAGCCAAAAAGTGGGGAGGGGTGGAGAGGGAACAAGAGCAGGCAGACAGGCACACTGTTGTTATATTACCTTCTCTAATTCTGTGTGTTTCTGAAAATTTCCAAAATAAAAATATGAATAAATAAATTAGCTTCAATTGTCAGCCACCTCGCCTTTTAAATGAGCAAAACACCTCAGAAGCATTCAAACGCTCCTGTGGTAGAGTTCCACCAGGGGTAGTTCTGTATATCACAACACACTGAGATGCTGCTGAAGTTTTCAGTAAAGATATCCTAGGTTGTCACCTGGTGTGTGTGAACACTGATTAAATTTCATGCAATCTACTAGAAGCCTTCTGGGAGACTACGGAATGATATTGTCTGTGCAAAGCAAATACAGAAAGAGTCCTTTAGGCATTTCTTTCTAGAAAAAAAGGAAAAATGTCTCCTTGTCTCTATTTCTTTCCTGCTGAAGACCATATGGGGCCCACTATGAGCCAGACACGCCACTCACAGTGAACTCAGCTCACTAGAGATGAGGTACCCAAAGCCAGCTTCGAAAAAATGTATGGTTTGTACTCGTCAGTGCTAGGCTAGAATTTAAATCCTGGTTTGGTGACCTTGTGAGAGACAATGAATTAATGTAATGCTGTGATTAAGGTGATTTCAGAGTATGTGCTGTTTCCTGGCCAACTTGTTATTCACACACTCTCCCTGGGCGAGCGAGCCAATGAAATTTCAGAGATAACCCAATGTCTCTAATTAAAAAAGTCCTGATAGCAGAGGTGGCCGGGAGTCAGGATGAGGGCATGACTTGTTACCTACATAGAGCCCATGGGGCATCACTGGTGCTCAATTAATGTGGAGTAAACCAAACCCAACAAAGGGAACTACTAAGGTGGCCAAAGACCATGTTCTGGACAATAATACCATGTTCTGCATGAAAAATAATTATTGCCCAGCACAGGTGCTAGGGACCAGGATGTGGCAGAATTGAGAACCTGGGAGCAGACGACCAAGCAGGTGGGGGAGAGGCAGGGAAAGAAGGCAGAACAGAGAGGGTTCTGGGAGAAGATTCCACCTGGGATGAAGGTCTGCCTTTTCGAACTGTTTTTCTATCACAAACAAGATCTTACCAGAAACTGCAATGTGTAAAATAGCAGAATTACTCTGGCTGAAGGAACAGGGTGGAGACTGGGGCCCCCACTGCTACCTCCTCCTCAGTACTGGTGGTGGTCCCAAGAGGGACCAAGTTACCTCAGAGGAGTTTATGGAAAAAAGTTTAAGATTTGGGAATGCTGACATGTGGTGGCTAATTAAAATTTTTGCCAAGTACAATGTTTAAAAAAAAAAAAAAAGGAGTACATACTATCACCATTATTTTAAAAGAAAAAGGCAATTTTAACATTAAAAAACAAGAGGACATGCTATTTTTTAAAAAGGTGAGTCCTTTAAATGAAATATATTTAGGTGTCTGAAGAACATCTTGCATTCCCCCCTCCCTTTTTCTCCGACTTGCTTTGGACGGAAGAAAACAGGCATGACAACACCTGGTCTCAGGTCTCCACCGGCTCTGAAGGACCCACCCTGTCTCTGACGTGTGAGTTACTGTGCCTGAGGCGCAGTACACAGTCGCAGAACACAGAAATCTTGATGCTTAACATCTGAAGGAGCGGTTTTCTTTGGAAGGCACCCTAAGCCCTCAGCCCTGAGAACCTGGACTGCAAGAATAAGCGTTTCCGTTTTACTTTTATTTGCTTTGATTTTGACAGCTTATATTTATCTTTCCCAACTTACCTGCTTTGTATTTCTGCTGTCAAAAGGGCAGGGCTGGTGTGTCCAAGCCACATTTGAAAAGTAATTCATCCCCTCTGGGTCTTTTCTCTTGGTGAGTTATTTGGATTAAAGGGAAAAAAGAGCTCCGGCGGGGAGCAGAGGGTCCCTCTTTGTTCCCTGGCAGCTCACTCACTGGCCCTTCCAAAATCTCAGCACCACCCCTGCCAGCCCTGGAGCACCTTGCTGCTTACTCTCCATGCTGCCCAGCCTCAGCCCCTCACCCATGCTGCTCTTGGCTGAAGCATTCCTGCTCTGCCCACGGCCAAGTCCTTTCCACTTGACCACATCACCTACATTAGCCCCCAAGGCAAAAACTGAAATTACTTCTCATCTGTTACTACTTGTTTACTAGAGTTTCTGTTTTCTAGTGTATCCTCTGTCTCCCTCCCCACAAAGGAAGCTCCTTGACACAGGGGCTGGGTCTATTCAACAACTCGATATATCGCCAGGGGCATGGGAGGAGCTGGAGGAACATTCACGGAAAGGATGAGATTGTGAAACGCCCATGAGTTGTGGCTACCAAAAATTACAATTACACAAAAGAGAAGGAAAACATAAGGAAGAAAGGAAAGGGGGAGGAAAGAAGGAAGAAAAGTCTTAAAAAAATGATATAAGAACAAAATTATTGGTATAGATTATATTTTTTATTCTGTAGAGTAAACGCCAAGATACAATCTACCTTTAGCACTTCTGCATTTTCAGCAATCTCTAAACTCACTAAAATCACATGGATGTAGTTTAGAAAGCCAGAAGGAATTCCTGAAAATAAAGCTGCTGAGATCCTGGCAAGAGACCAAATGAAGTCTCTTTTCTCTTAAGGGCAAACACTTTTCTTTCTGGAACAATGGACAGTAACCCTGCTCAAATGCAGGGAGAAAAGACAGGGACAAAAAATTCAGCTGAGTGTTGGGTGTTCCAGGCACCAAACACAGTGCTAGATGCTTCCATCCCTCATCTGATCCAACAGAACCCATCAATGAGGAAACTGAGGCTTAGAGGGATGAGGTCACAGCCGAAGTGCATGGTGGGTAAGCGGTAAAAGTGGGACTCGAACTCAAGCTTGCCACACTCAACGTTCACTCTCTTCCCATTCCGCTTCTCAACGTCCCTCCCCTCCTAAGGTGGGGTGGGGTAGGGGAGCAGGAGTGGGGGGGGCGGGGGGGCCCGGGGCACGGGCGATTGTAGATCTGAATCCATAACAAATGCTGTTTCCAGGTGGCCCTTGATGTGGGCTGATGGTGCTAGTTTACTTGTGAGTTTAATGTGCTTACTAAACGTTAGGAAAATGAAAATAAAGATATGCTGTCTCGTAGAACATTCAACTAGAGACTCAAGATGGGCCACAGAACAACACAATCTTGAGCTACCTAGATGCCACACTTAACTGTCAGAGGCCAACGTGCTATTTCCCATTACAGACCAGGGGAGAACTAAGGAATTGCTCTGGTTTTGAAAGGCACATCTGGAGGTTAACACAGATCTCACGTCAGCCTCACATGCCTGGCCCAACTTCCTCTTACCTCCTTGAACTCCTTCACGGTCTTAAAGTACAGCCTCTGCTTCTCTAGCAGCTCCAGGTACTGGTCGTTCAGCTGGTCCCTTCTCATTTTGTTCTCTTGCTTCTTCTTTTCCATCTGTGGAAACATTTTGGGACACAGTGAAGAAAACGCACATTCTGACGAAGGGCTGCTGGCAACATCCAAAAGACAATTATTACTAACATTTTCATGGATTTCCTTCCAGTATTTTCCCTCTATACAGCATTTTTGAGGTTGGTTTATTTATTTGCATGACATTGCATAGAGGCTCTATAATTTATTCAGCAATTCTCCTATCATTAGGTGTTAACTATGCATCACAAAAATTTTTTTGTGACTACAAATAATATCATAATAAGCAGATTGCCGGTTCTCAACGCCCCCCAGAATGTCTGGAGACAGATTAGATTGCCACAGCTGTGTGTGTGTGTGGGGAGGGGCAAGAGGGGCTGCTTGTATCTACTGGCAGAAGCCAGGGATGCTGCTAACCATCCTACAACACTCAAGATAGCCCCATAACAAGGAAGTATCTGGTCCAAATGCTGTGCTGAGCAACTCTGATTTAAATAACTGAGATCATAGTATAAAATTATGTATCCTCTTTTTACTTAGCATAAGTGTTTCCATGCTATTACAGACTTTCTACAATTACAACTTAAAAAACCATACAATATTCTTAATCATCATTGCTTACTTACTCATCTTTCTATTGGTGGACAATTTAGGTTATTTCTAGGATTTTGATCTCATAAATAAAGGCTAGTCTTTGATTAAAGAGATTTTCCTAAGGTACCTAAAAGCTTATTCATTTAATAAATATTGAGTGAGTGGACATCTTCAGAACTAAATGCAGTGGTGACAAGGCAAGGTCACTGCTCTTACAGAGTACACGTTCTAGAGACCGACACTAACCAAGCACCCACACAGAGAACTACACACGCGAATCCCCAGCAGTGATCAGTACTGAGAAGAAAATGAACAGGCTTAGGTGGCAGAGAGGAGAGTGGGTACACGGCCTCTTCAGGCAAGATGGTCAGGGAGGGCTCTCTCAGGAGGTGACATTCAGGCAGAGGTGGCAGCAGTATGCACTTTATTTTCAGAAGACAAACCAGAGCCTCGCTCAGCCAGGAAGTGAGCGCAGAAGGAAGGTGGTGTTGAGCAGTGCCTGGCTCATGGCAGGTGCTCAAGAGCGTACTGAGTGCTGAATGAAATTATGAGTGATGCTTTGCCCTGGCTTCACTGGTCCTTTGACGCCTGAATGTTATTTTTGAGTTACTCTCTGGAAATGGTTTTATAGTTGGTAAACACAAGTTAAAATTGAATAGGCTGCACTTTATTCAGCCATTGTCTCCCCTCTCTCCACACCACAGGCCTCTGCTGATCACACAGGTGAACTGCAACCTGGTGTCCCCAAGGCTACCCCACCTTATTCAGAGGAAGGCCTACCCCACACAGGCATTTGCCTCATCCTGACCACATGCCCAGCTCCTAAGTCCACTGGTAACCAACTCTGAGACTCTGCGCTCTCCTCTTTCCACAGGTCTGCACACGGACACCTGCTGCATACCTGTGCCTAGGTCTGGAGTTTGGAAACCTGCCTTGTGACCAGTTCTTCCAGAAGTGGGCATTCCCCTCTGGGGACCCTGGCTAGGGCCCTCTGACACTCAGAGCCCTGGTTCAGCAGTCAGCCCTACTCCCTTCTGGCCGACTTCCGGATGCTGCCCGAATGAAACTCTATCACTGGCTCACAATTCCTGCCACAACGCCCACTGCGGTTCCTTCTTGGACCTCACTTCCCAAAGCTGTCAGATACTTTCCTGCTGGGCTGGGTGGGACCTCATAGCTAGGCCCCTGTCTCACAATTAGCAGAGCAGGCAGGCATGTCGATTCCAGGACTTTCCTGTCTGCTCTGTACTCTAGCAGAAAATCTGGCCATGACTGATTATATCCTAGAGATGTAAACAATGCACTTTAATTTGAATGTATCCAGGACCCACTCTGGGAGGTAGTGTGGAAACCTTGAAAAGGTATAAACTTGAGGCCAGAAAGGCCTGGAGTCAAATTCCAGCTCTGACACTCACTGTATCCTTGGACAGTTACTTAACCTTTTTGAATGATAGGTCCCTTAGCTGTAAAATAAGGATAATATCACCCATATCACAGGTTTTATTGTAAAGAATATATTATATTAAGTATTAAGTAAATGATACATCATTTGGTTCACAGTAGCTACTCAATAAAGATAGTGCTTCTTCTTAACATTTAGCATCCTAGAAAGCACATGGTAAGAAGTGGTAAGAGGCCCCCTCACTCTCAGAATCAGGAGCTGACTCTTAGGTCTGAGTTCCACTTGCACACTGTTCTCAGCATCCCCTTACTCACTCACACTAGTCCTACTCCTTGCTTATTGTACCACCCCTTCACACTCCAGATCAGGAACTCCAGAGTCTTCGGCCGAGCCCTCGCTCTCAGTACTCCCAAGGTGCAGAGACCTCCTCTGGGTGAGGCCAAAATGCCTACTAATATGTGAGTCCCTCTTTACTCAGGAACCCTTCCATGGGCCATAAGCATGTATTCTACTACTTATACCCACTGCTGGTCTATTCTGTGTACACCCTGCGTCTGCCAGTTCTGGGGAAATCAGTGCTGCCCCTACTCTGAACAGGACCCATCATGGCACCGAGACAGGGAGGGCTATGGTTTTTTTCAAATGCAACAAAAGACATCCATCCAAATGAGTGCTGTTCTGCAAAGCAGACACACTTACTCCATTCAGGGTGCTAGTCAATATTCAAACTCTACCTGGAACCCTCTTTGAGAACTGCTTTTGGAGTCAATTGAATGAATTCACTTGTTCTGCTTTTGGAGTCAAATGAATGAATTCACTTGTTCAACGAAAAGTTCGAGTGCCCACCACAGGCCAGGAGCTGTGTTAGCCACTAGCAACAAGACAGGAGAAAGAGAGACTTCTCTGTCAGGGTCCTGACCACCCATAGAGTGCCCCACCACCTGGCGGGGGAAGCAGACACAGTGGCAGCCTTCTCAGCCAGCACTGATGTGCCACCAGTAGGAAGCCTGGGAGAGAATGGAGAGAATGAAAGGTCAGGCCTACTTCTTCCCCCAGGAATCATCTCCCAGTAAACAGGAAGAGGAAACCAAGTGAAAAAGCCCAATAAATTCCTGTGGTTCTTTACTATGAGCAAAAGCAGCTCCCCGGGGGAGGAGCATGGCAGGGGTGGAAAGGTCCACCACATTGAGATGTGCGCTGTTACAGACTTGTGGTGAGCCAGTTCCCTGGCCTCCACCTGCCTCACACCTCAGAGCGTTGAGAAGAGACTCACTCGCTCTCTGTGAGACAGCCTGTCCTGTCTGGGTATGTGTACCTGCACATGACAAGTGCTGCCTCACATTGCTCTCATTTTTGTGGCTGAATAATCTTGTTACTAGTGATCCATTTTTTTTTTTTTTTTTTTGCTCCTTTGGTATCATTTTATTGAAGTCATTAAAGGGGAGATGAATATTTTCTACAGGGACAGGGATGTGGAGAGCTTGTGTCCTTAGTTCCTCTCTCGTGAGAGGAGATTACAGGCAGCCTGAATGTCTGTCTTTGTGCGTGGGTATCATGATGACAGGTCCTGCAGGCATCCCTTTCTTTCATGTGTCTACTTTCTGGCATCACACACTGGACCACTTTGCCCTCAGATCATGAAAGAAGGTGCCCTAAGACCAGCAGGTTTTTACTGCTATGCCTGAGGACCACTCTGGTGTGACACATTTTTTAAACAGGACCAAAAGCAAAAGACATTGGAGGTATTAGTGAAGATTTGTTGGTTTTGGTAGTAGGGAACTGCAGCTGTGTTTCTGGCTTCCAGACAGTCAGCAAGTCTACTTCACTACTGACAAATCAGCCCACATGCAGAGCCACAAAGCGAGGATAACCCCACGCTGCCCCTGACCAAATGATTCTCTTTAAAGCTTCTCTGGAACTCCCACATCCCTTATCAGTTCCTCTTTTTTCTTCTGACTTCCAAGGCTCAATATCCTCTCACTTTAGCAGAATTCGGTTCAACAATTATTTGCATTTTTTTATAGGGGGTTCCTGAAAACTAAAATGCTCTCAAGATCTGCAGGAATGAATCTCTAATGGCAGAATGTCAGGAACCAAAGATCCAGTGAGGAAGTGATTCTGAGCAAGAGAGGAAGCCTGCTGGTGAAAGTCAGTAAAATGGGAGTAACACAACCCACTTAAGGGGGCTCTGAGGAGTGGGTCAGCACCATGCTTGGCACACGGGTGTTTGATCCATGGGGGCTACTGCCAAAAGCAGCCCTTGGACCACCAGTGCAGACAGCGCCTAGAGCTGGCTGGGCCCACTGCAGGCTCAGAGGCATGGCGGGATCCCCCTGCAGAGACACTGAAGATGTGTCTCCAGGACTAAGAGCATACTCCCAGAACAACCAGAAGAGGCCTGCTTTTTGCAGGGCCTTCTCCATCACCACTACGAAACCCAGGCCGCATTACAGAAAAGAAGCCATCTGACCTTCATTTTACTTTGCTTAATTCCTTCTACGATCTGTTCCATCTGACGTAAAAACTGGTCCCGGGCAGCAGGGGAGGCCATGGCTCTGAAAGAAAAACCAAAGAAAGTATGACCAGCACACAGGACTCTGAGAAAGGGGGAGGTGCCAAGGAACTGGCCCCATCCCCAGATAATGCCCCAAGAGGCAACCAGGCCTTTCAAGGCATGATGGACCCATGTGGGCCCTGGAATCCCAGGCAGTTAGGGATCCTAAACTCTGAGGAAGGCATGAAAATTAGCTTGGTCTTTTAAATGAAAATTAATCTTTTTTTTTCCATTCTCCCTATAATTTTCTTAACTATTTGTATTTTCTTAAAATAAAATGTGACTAAAATTAACTAAAAATATATTTTTTACTTTGAAAGATGGCAGGTACTGCTTAAGAAATGATTTCGATTTAGTTTTTAAAAATCTGAGGATTTGAAGGCACTGCTCAAGATTGGAAGAGACCTTCTGAGATTTTCCTAAAACCAGGCTGGGAAAACCTGGTCCTGTTTCCAGAAGCAGCAGCTAAACGAGTGGATTCCCTGATGTCCTGAAACACTTCCCTGCACCTCCAGTTCTGCAGAGGGAATGACGCCAAAAGGATAAGAGCACATGCATACAAACACTGAGACCTCTCCCAAAGGATGGGTTGACAGAGGGCAGAACTCATCACAAAAACGCTCAACATGCAGTCTCTCTCAATTACCAGGAAATAAAGATGAAGGCACCATTTTTGGAAATGTCACAAGGTTGTAAGTCATTAGTTGAATCTTATCAGGGAGCTGTGGGATTTTTTGTTTGCTGTTTATTAGAAACGAAGCTTAAAATCTAGAATTTGTAATCCATTAAAATCTTAGTCGCTGGTCACCTGCCAGGGGACAGTAGAGACTTGTGCTGGAAGGAAAGGAAGCCTGTGACACAGAGAGCAAGCCGTGGGGCTGCCAGACGGTGGGCCGGCCATTGGCAGGCTGGAGGGCTGCTATGATTTGGGTATAGGTGGGCCTTGCCATCCAATTTTTGGAGAGAAAATTCATCTCTGAATAAAGTAGCTTGGAGGATGCATGTTAACTAAAAAACAAAATCTACCACAAGATTTAAAAAAATTTTTTTTAAATTATATAATTATCCAAATTTTAAAGGATTTCTAGTGCTCAAGAACAGTGGTATTAATCTAATCTTAGCAACAAAAAAGTAATACCCAAAGAGATTAAACTAGTTAGTTAGGCACAGTCAAATTATTTGAAAGTTAACTTTTTCCTAAGATATTCCTTGGTGTTTTCAAAACTCGCTCTAATATCATTGCGTTTTTGCAAGAATTCAGGACCATGTAAACCAAGACACGTTTGCACGTGGCAGCAGGGGTGGAGGTGTAGGAATAACATGTGAGCTCTGTCTTACTCAACCACACCACTGCAACATGAAGGCGAGCTGAAGACAAGGGACAGCACCAAGGCAGTGACAGGGAGGAGGATGACAACACTTACTGTGAGAAATTCTCATGAATTGAGTTCAGCAGGCTAATCTGAGGAAGAAAGAAAAAAAAAAAGAAAAAACAATCGGCAAAAGGTTGAAAGGTCCTTGTGCTACCTCAACCACCGGAAGCTTGTCTTGATTCTAGATGTCGCTTCTGAAAGGAGTACACCTTGTTTGTACAGATGCAAGTAACATGAGGAAAAAGAGCAACATGTTCTTAGCCCCATGGTTTTTCCCAGAGCATCTACCTTCCGATAACCCATGACATAAGAATGTAGAAAAAGGGCCCCTTGAAGCGACCTAAGTCCCAGCCAGGAAGACACTATAATTAGGGCTCTGGGCAGCTGCCACCCTTTCCATCTTGCCAAACACTGCACTTTATTCCCACAGCTATCAGCTTAGCGGAGGGTGAGCTGGGGCGGAGAGCAAGAACACTGTGCCCATCCTATTGGTTCCTACAGAATCTTTTTGCCAATGTGGCCAGCTGCTGCATAGCTCTGAGAGCCTCTATGGGAATGCATCATTCAAGGCCCCCATTCCCATGGAAACTGCCTTATCCCACAAAGTAGGACCCTCTATCTGCCCCAGTGACACAGTCCACACTGTGGGCTCTGAGACTGGAGTCTAAAACCTAGGTCCTCTTTCTGGCTGTGTCACTATCTCAACTTGTGAGCTCAGGACAAAGCAGTTACTATACGTGGAACTCAGGTTCACAGTCTGTAACATGGAAATGATATTCCTGTCTTTATGACTCCACAGGGATGTTTGAACGCTAAAGTATCACATAAATGGATTTGGAATAAAATGCACAATTTTTTCAAATGCCAAGTTCTAATTGTGTTAATATGGGTTAGAATGAAAAGCCCCCAGCCCCCTGCATACTCCTAGATTTTAAAAGGATGCAACAACTTTAAACACTGCTGATGAAGGAAGGTCAATGGGGTTCAAGGCTTTCTCAGAAGGGGCTGGCCTGTCCCTAAGTTAGGGTTGGCAAGTCTTCCCCTCGCCAGGTAGGAAAACCCAAGGCCAGGGTGTGTAGCAGAGCTGTCCCCAGACTGGATGTAAATCGCACCAAATGCACTCAACTCATCTATTCAAACATTTATCAAATGCCTGTTACGTGTCCATCACTGTATAAGGCCCTGGATACAGAGAAAAATAGAACCCAATCCCTCCTCTCAAAGAGTGCCCCCTGGGAGGAGAGAGATTCATCTGGTTTGACTGACAATAGGCAATAAAGGTGACAATAATTACAGATGCCCCCATTTCGGTTCAGGTAAGATACATCTGTAATATTGCTTTTATTAAAGTGGTAATCAGTGCAGGTCACAAGGTGAAGATAAAATGAAAACAACTTCTGTCAACCTCAAGGTGACGGTGTAGGCAGGAACTAATACGTACTGAGAACCTCCCCATGTGCAAGAAACGTCACCGTCACTTTCTCCTTCTGTCTCCATCATAATCACGTGAGGCAGATGTTGTTTCCATTTCAGAGGTGAGGAAAATATGGCCAGGCTAAAACTCAAATCTGCCTGACCCCAAAGCTCATGCTCTCTGCTACACCATGCTGCTACTGTGAAAACCAGTGCTATTCTTTTTTTAAAAACAGCTGCACACCCTGCCCCCATCATTTGTCATCCAACCTGAGGGAGCCCTGAATCATGAATGGATTTAACCTGAGTCAGAGTAACGAGGGGCTGTCAGTGCCCATGGGAACCCCTTTTCAGTCCTGCTTTGAATTTTACAATCCTTTTAGTTCACGCCTCTGTCTGCCACTGACGATTAAATAGCTCCTTTCCCCATGTAAACTATAATGGCCCACCATCCCATTTCATTTAGCTGGT